AAAGGAAAAAGATGAAGGAATTATATTAATTTATTTTTTAAAAATATAAATAATGATAACAATGTGAGTTGGCATGAAAAAAAATTCCACGTCAACATGTTTTCAATTTGCTTTTGCCACGTCATCAAAAAAATAATAAAAAATCACACGTGAGCGAGTTAACGGTCGAAATTAATAGAAATACTAACGGAGTGCATTTCGTATAGTTAAGGGATCAAAAAAGTGCAAAAAATTATTAAGGGACCAAAAATGTGCAACTCACTAAAGTTGAGGGACCAAATCTAGCATTTAACCTTTCTAGTAAAAGTTTCGATTTTTTTGGTTTATTCAGTATCCCCGTTTGACCAAAGTAAAATAGAAAAAAAAATCTGTTGAGTTGATTCTTTGGGTTTAAGAATTTGATGAAGTTGTTGGAAAACCGAGTTGTGAGTCATTTTTTTTTTTCGGGAAATTTGAAATCTCAATAAGTAAATTACTACCTCAGGGAAGGGTTTTAATTTGTTGTATGTATGTGTCTTTGATTTCAGCCACCCCTAATTAAGCCGTCAGATAACCAGTTGAGTTTGGAAGACATGGACGCAATCGAAGTGGTGGGGACGACAAATGGTGGAGTTGTGCAATTGATGCAACACAAATGGACTCGTCAATTTTTTGCAGTGAAGGTATTATTTTGCTCAACACTTTCTATATTCTGTTCAGATGCTGCTCCAATGTGAATGGTTGTGCCATCCAAAAATAAACCCTTTTCTTAATGTACTTATGTACATAGAAGTTACAGCTCTATATCTTTGTGTTGTTCCTGCTTCATCTTAAGTGCTGAGACCGTGTGATGTCTTCTCATTTCAGGTCATTCAAATGAACATGGAGGAACAAGCACAAGCTGCACTGGCACAGAAATTGAAAATAAATCAATCCTTACAGGGTCCATATGTTGTTGCGTGCTACCAGTCTTTCTATAAAAATGATGTTATTTCTAACGTCTTGGAGTATATGGATGGAGGATCTCTGTTAGATTTTCTGAAAAAAGTAAAAACGATTCCTGAACCGTATCTTGCTGCAATATGTAAGCAGGTTGGTACTTATGCGTTATGAAAGGTGAATTGGTTATAATAAATACCATTTGCTTTGATATGGAAAAGTGATTATTTGTCTTTTGTATTTTTCTCAAAATTAATTCAGGTTCTTAAAGGGTTGGCTTATCTTCATGATGAAAAACAGATTATCCACAGAGACTTAAAGCCTTCTAATTTGTTGATAAACAATAGAGGTGAAGTCAAGATCAATGATTGTGGTGCCGGTTGTATGGTGACAACCACATTTGGACGTGCTAACACTTTTGTTGGCACATACAACTATATGTCTGTAAGTAATTCACTGGACATATGATGCAAAATATTATTTTCTACATTTTCATTAATGCTTTCTTCTTTCAACAAGTGTTTGGGTGCATCTTTTCTGTTCAGTTTAAAACTTATTAGTTTGGTTATGTCTGTTCATTTTTAGCCAGAGAGACTTACTGGAGGCAATCATAACAGCAAAAGTGACATTTGGAGCCTGGGGCTAGTTCTGCTTGAGTGTGCAACTGGTCAATTTCCATATTCCCGACCGGAGGAAGAGGGATGGGATAATTTTTATGAGCTTATGGTAGCAATTGTTGACCAACCACCACCTTGTGCACCTTCTGATCAATTTTCTCCACAGTTTTGCTCGTTTATCTCAGCATGGTAAGGCTACATTTTTCATGATGTACCTGATGCATACTATTCTTCTAGAATCATTTTGCACCAAATTTGAGTGCAAGCGTGATGCTTGTGTACTTGTATTATTTTTTTTCTAGTCTAGCATTCTAGGTTGCATGAAGAAATTGTCTTCTGCCTTGTTTCTTCTTCTTCTTTTTTTTTTTTTTTTTTTTTTTTTTGTAACAATTCTTACCATCTCTTTCCAAAAATGATGGAAATATTGACCCATGAAGAACTTGGTGTCATTTTCTTTTGCATGTTCATATATGTTATTGCCCATTATGTTGAATATCTTGGAATTCTTTGACCTGAGGAGGTTACTAATCTTAGATTTGGGTTCAATTGTCTATTTCAGTGTACAGAAGGATCCAGAGGACAGGCAGTCAGCACTCGAACTTTTGGTATGTAAAACATCTGACATTGTTTTTGTCCCGTTTTATCTTTCAAGTAGCACAAATCAATTAGAATATATGCTAAACTGATGGTCTAATGTGATTTTTATTTTAATTCCAATGTGAAACACAGGAACATCCTTTTGTGAACATGTACGATGACTTCGATGTGCTCCTGTCATCCTACTTCACCGATGTTGAATCTCTACTTGCTTCCCCTTCACTACAAGAAATGAGGGAAAAACCAGCGATTTTTGACCTAAACGACAGCGTTTTTCAATGTTGTATTAAAATGTTCCAGCATTTGTTAAAATGCAGATAAGACGCTGTCTATACCGCTATCGCGCTTTGTACCAAATAGCGTTTTAAGAGACGCTGAAATAGTGTATACCCAAAGGTAGCATTTTCAGGAAAGGCTGTGATAGGGTATTGAAAATGCTGTCTTTTTCCCCACCAGGAATACCATGGTGTGTGGGCAATGCCAGCGTTTTAAAACGATGGAATTGAACCTTTTCTTTTCTTTTCTTTTTTTTTTATTTAATATTGCTATAGTAAAATTTTAATATTAATTATTTTATTTTGCATTATTGAACAAACATTAAATAATCTACTAAAAATTTAGTGGTGAAGAAAATTGACGTTACAATTTAAAACAAAATGTATTGAAAATAAAAACAATTGTACCATATGCAAAATGTATGTAATATTCAAAACTTAGTAATTTGATAGACATTAACTCATTAACCAATAAATATCATTTTCTAAATGAGAAAATTAAATTGCTAAACTAAAGCATTAACTAAACCATTGTTTGAAGCTTCTGCTAGAGCCTTCCATGCCTCCATGCTGCCTTGCCCTCCATTTCCCTACCACACAATCAAATTAAGAAACCAATAAGAGAAATCTTTATCACTCTTTTTATAGGAACGTGCTCATGCGAATAATCCTTACTTGCAAACATTGATGCAATCATACAAAAGTTAACATTAATGTTGCTTTCTCACTAACCTTTTCATTGCATCAATTCTGCTCATCTTCATAAGAATCCATTGCTTGGTAAAAATTATTGAAAGCAGCCACCGCCCTGCAGGCAGATTTGGCTCCACATCCACCAAAAAATTTATCCAAACAAACTAAATAAGACATGATCCTTGTAGAAAACTAGAAATAGGAAGAATCATATTCATGCATCACAAACAGGCAATTGAGGTGAAGTCATAAGGCAGCACACTGACAACTCATTTAACTTGATGATCTTCTACCTCAAGTT